CAAGCCGCTATGATGCCAATGAAAAAAGCTAAAGATAACACAAGACCGAGGAATCCTGGAAAATGTCTCAGATACAATTCAAATTTATCGTATGAAAAGCATTCGATTGTTTAGCGTACTAAACTGTACTTTAAATATGGTCGTACTTTAAATTAAAAGCGACCATATTGATAAGTTTAGTAGAATATCACAAAATTTTAATCAAAGAAATGGTGAGGTGTCCGCACGTTATTCATTCCTACTTAAGAATCCACTTCTAACGCAAAAATGCGCGAAGTAGAAAAAAATTTGCCTGCGGAAATCTTTATATAAATGAGAAGTCTTGCAAAAAGTTACTTCAGAAATACGCTAAATAAGCAGAAAAGTACTGTATGCAAATTTATATCAAACTGATGAATAATATTCAAAAAAAGTGTTTTCAAAATTTAAGATTCCATTCTTATTTAACAAATTGTAACAAACTTGATTGCTATTAAATGCTTATTAATTTACATATTGATTATTAATTAAATTTATAAATTAATCCAGTAAAGCTGAATTTCCTTCTACGTACTTCATATTTGAACTCTATAATAAGAGAAAAATATTACGCAGATTCATTTAAAATTGAAAGCATAATGAATGAACACTAAAATAATGCACAAATAAATTCTTCAAACTGAATCTTACGCTGTAACAAGCTTGATTATCTTTCAAAGTATCAGTGATTTACCTGATTTGCTTTTTTGAATAGGTAAAATCATTTCATATTCATCGAGAATCGGACAATTCAAATGAAGACTCAAGCAGTTGGATTCTCGACAAGGCTGTCTATTAGTCTGCCAAATTAGCAAACATTCATGCTGAAAAATAGTTCGAATAATAAAAAAAACTAAGTATGAGGTTAGTATAAGTTTCAATTTGAAGAAAAATTAGCAAATTTAAATTTTTTAATGCAGCAAAAAATAGCAGGCAATAACACTGATAGCAATAAATAAATGAATAATTTTTATAATAATAATAATAATAATAATAAATGGTAATAGTAATAACAAAGTATAAATTGTAGTGCAACAGATTTTATTATCAATTAAAATGGTAATATAGAAAGTAAAATAGTTCTACTTTGTGGCTGGCTAAGTTTCCTTGCTCTGTGATATGCCTCTTATTATTTACCAAAATATAATTCTATAAAACTGAACTTAAGTTTTTATCGATGATTCTATTAAAATATTATTTGAATTAGTAAAATAAGTTTTATTTCTTTGCTAATAATTTTAAGATGAAAAAAATTCCTAAAATTTACTAGCAGTTAAAATTTTTGTGGCTTACAAGTTTGCCACTTTTTTGTACTGTACAAGTAACTGTAGATTTTCCAACAGTAGTCATTTCAACCATACGGCAGACAGCATCTACAGGTGTGCAAGATTTAGCACTTCTGGTATTTTCGTCAAGGGCAATTGTATCGTTATTGTTACTGAAGTAAAAGCATGCCCCAAAATAATCTGAAATTTTAATTAATTATATTATTTCTGAGCACCAACACTTTATTAGTTGACTGTCTGCTTCAAAATGTTCCAATTGAATACTGTGTGTGTATTTTTGAAACAGACTGCAAGCTTATTTCGCTTGATTCATATTAGATTTTAGTTATCTTACTACAAGTAAGCAAATGTAATTATTATTTTGGTCAACAAAATAATTTTATTAAAGTCTCTAAAGTTGTGGGAAACTATGCTAATTTGAAATTAATCCTTCATTCATTTAATGCTCAACACTGATTGCTTATAATTCAAGTACCAAGCATCAACAATTAGCAAAAAAATCATTTTAAATTTAGTTTTTCCTTTCAATCAATGATTAAACGATAAACTCTGATTAACTTACTAATTTTACAACTATTGAACCAGCGACTACTAATAAGCTAAATAAGTTTACAGGTAAATAATTAAAACCTCGATAATGATATTGATAAGTTATTAGATTTGTAATTTATTAATTAAGCAAAGCCAACTAATTAATTAACGTGCCAATCAAGAATTTAATAATTTCCCAAGTTATTAATTATATTGCTATGCAGTTAATGAATTTATTAATAAGCTAATTAAGTGTATCAGTCAGTAAGTACATAACAAACCATCCTGAGAATGAATAGTTAAAAGCTGCGCTGGATGTATTGCTTGTTCAGCGATAATATTCCGATCTTGCTCTAACACATCATTATCACTGGTAATCTCATTACCAATACTGTTCATAACTGGACATGATAATGTTATCGAGTGACAATCTCCTTCTTCCGCGCATTTTTCCTTCATTAATGGAACATTTTCCGTTACAAGGCACGAAACCTTTCAAGAATTGAAGAAGATTTTAATTGCAATTACTTTGTTGTGGCGAGTAGGTACTACTTTGCCACAGTTTAATAGTTTCTGTCCTTAAAATATTTCAAAACTATTCATTATCTTCTTAATATCAAACTTTAATATTATTTTATTTAGCACTGCACTTTTGTACGACTGCTTGTACTGTGCATAATGAAAGCCTGATATTTTTCATAAAAAAAGTAATTTTGTAACCACTCAGAAATCTTTTCATTCAGAATTGTCGCACCAAAGTGTAAATTGTGCCACTACGGAAGAACTGTGCTTAAAATATCTCTGAGTTACATGATACTTTCACTAAAATAAAATAGTTTTTGAGAATTTTTACTTTTTATCGAATCAAGGAATTTCGCCTGAAAATATTCTAAAAACATTCATTTAACTTCCTATGTGACTTCTATTGAAAGATTTTCTGCGTAAATGCCATGTAGTTTAAGACTTTGATTCACATAATTCAAGCAAGTTCATCGAATACCTTAATAATCGCATAATAATTTCAAATACTTTATTGCGACTTCTGCATTAGCATAAATCTTTAGCAATATCATCAATGATAATAATATTAATAATAATGACATGTATAGCAGCAATAATAACAAGATTATTATTAATATTATATTGATGAAAATTGTAATAAGTAAAAAAATCACCAGTGGTGGTTTACTTGGAGGCTTTGCATCGTCCACAATGCAAATAAGTTCTGTTACGTTGATAATAATCGGATTTTTAAGGTAACAACGGAAATTTTCGGGGTCACAATCATCAAGTTCACCACGCAATAATACTTTACCGTAATTTCGACATGTTACTGGTAAAAGCGATGGATTTTGTCCATTTTCTGGTGCTATTAAAGTGAACAAAAAAAATGCCAAAAAAAAGTTTAAACAATTTTGACATTTTTTGCTCATTATAATAATGGTAATAAATTTTTCTAAAACAAATATTTTTTGTAAAATTCATTACTATTTAATACTAATATTAGTAATAATAATATCATTATTATTGTATTATTATAGTATAAATTTTAATTTTTACTCTGAATATAACATGTAAATGTGTAATGAAAATAAATTGTTTAATGTAAAAATGGTAGAAAGAATTGGATGTAAGGTTTTTGTTCTGTTTGCACTGCTCGAATTGAATGATTCAGACCAATTTCTTCTACATTTCAGATTTTTTTATTTAAAAAAAAATATTTCATTCTTTCGAATGAGAAATAAAACTTAAAAGTAAAGAAAGAACAGGAATGAAACAAAATGCGCTCATTCTTATGTTTTGCTCTGTACCTATGAGATTCCGCACATTATGACAAATTTTGCATTTTTATTAATATTTTCATTATCAATATTATTGCTAATCTTGTTGTTAAGCCTGTTTTTAGAAATTTTTTAATTTTTGAAAGGGAGCAAATTTACAAAATTATTCATCTTACAAAATATAATTAAGATAATTTTCGCAAAGGTCTGTTTTTGGTCAAGGTTTTAGTTTTTTTACCATTTTAATAAATCTCTTCTGAATACTGATTACACTAATGATTTGATTAAATGTAAATTGAATTTTTCACTCGGACTGATTTAAATTTTGATTTGTCTTTGATTGAAAATGATCTAATTTAATACTAATTTCACAATTTGGTTTAATCTGAATTCTGACTTCTCCTTAGTTGCATTTAGTCTAATTTAGATGCTATGAGTATTAATAATTTCTTCAGCTTGATCTGGTTTGGGTTTTGATATTTTGTTCATTTACAGAATGTCATTAATTAATATGAATTACATTTTATTGAAGAAAACATTAATCAAAAGGTACTGCAAAAGCGTAAAATTTACATTCATTATATAATAATATCCCACGTGAGGAAGCAATCGTGATTGTAGTAAACAAATGATTGCTCGTAGTGATAAGTCAAATTAGTAAAGAAAACAGTTTTAAATATCTAATACTAGCGAGCAAAATTGACGGAGATCCAAGTATAGATGACGTGGTTGACACTACCAAATTTCATTTAAATTCAGAATGCATAATATTCAAGGACAAATTTATTAGTAATAAAAAACATTATAGTAATCACTGATCAATTCATTTTATATCAGTGGAACTAAAATTGTGGCATAAATTTAGTGTAAACCTTAAAAAAGTAATTTATTCAACCAGTGACGTACTCGACGTGAAGTACGTCCCACAATACTATCAATCATACTATCAATCCCAGAAAGCAGAGCATTCAAGATCAATTTTCATTTTTGTTTTACATCCTTGTGCTGGTCTGTTTTCATGTAAGTAATTTCTAGTCCAATCTTTATCCCTCTATTACCATAATAGTATAATATAAAAATAAAAAACATCAAACATTCACAAATGAAAATATATAATTGAGCTACAAGAAGGGTTTCAGCAAAAATTGAGCATGTTTCACATTCTGTAATGCACACTCTAATTACTAACTTTCTAACGTGATCTTTAAGAGTTTACGTCTCCGCAACTATTATAAATTAATTACCAGTCAGGCAAGAGAATTCAACCCTTCCGTGGTGTTTGCTGAAATCTCTGATTTAATGGACCCTGATAAAGTGGTAATAATGGTACCAATAAATAACAATTAGGATGAATTTGGGCAAATGCTTGCTCTCTACTAATGCATGTTGGATCAGCCAAAGTACCACGTCTAAAATATATTTCTGATTAATATTTGAATTACTAAAAAAATTTCACTGTTATCCTTAATTTTCAATAAAATGCACTATGATCTAAAAATTTGGATCAATTATATTTAATTAGAATTCTGATTATTCAATTTTTTTAGCTTTCAAAAATTTTTAATAATTAATTAGATATATTCCCGTGCAATATTAAATATTAGTGGTTGATTGCAGTAAAGTTGAATTATTGAATAGTTAGAGAAAAGGTTGCTAAGTTATGATTAGTTTTTAAACTAATTAGCATGAAATCTAGTTTAAAAACTAATCATAACTTAGCAACCTTTTCTTGAAATATAATTTCATTTTTTGAGCGAAGATAATTTAAATTAAAAAAATATATTTTACTTCATTTAACATAATTAATTTTTGTAGCAAATTATGCAAATTCAGCAGGAATTGCTTTTGAAAGATTTTATGCTAATTTTGCAGCAATAACTTTCTAAAAAATTTGTGAAAATCTCGAAGAGTGAATAAAACCATTTACCTACAATGTCGCTGATTATAATTTTTATCAGAAGTATCTTTGTAAAGTAAATTAATAGATGGAGCTGGTCCTGGCGTAATAACACGGTTCACCATGCGTAATTCGTTGTTTTTACGTATATTATTTCCCGTACCAAACATATCTTCCTTAAATGCTTTCCGATGACGCTGAAAATAGTCATTCACCCATAGTATATTTTTATATTATCGTAAGTAGTACTTTGATATCTTTGTCACATTTTATTATTTACATGTGAAAAAACTTAATGCTGATCATATTCTTAAAAGTGAAATAAATTTAAATCAAATATTTCAGTTTATGTTAGCTTAAATCCATTTTATTACAGTAAGCAAGTAAGTTTAAATTAGTTTTTTACGAACTACTCAAGTTTAGAACAATTTTGTTACAAGACACAAATTTAAATCAGTCTTATTATAGTCAAAGGCGTTCGAACCATATTTATTTTAAACTTGTTCTAGTTTGAAAATGATTCTAATTTACTGAACAGCAAAATCCAAAATCTGTCGATTATACTATTATCAGATCATTTGTCTTACAGCGACTTAAGTTTGAATCATCGTTATCAAAAGAGAACAAATATGGATCATTTTGTGTTTAAAAAAATTCAAGTCATTTTATTTGTACTGAATCAATTGTCAATTTTGAACCATTTCTGGTTTTGTAAAATGATTTCTTTTGTACCACTGGAATCCACAATAATTTATTACAAAAATTAATGTGCAAACAAAATTAACTAAATTTTTTGCTATATAATCTTTAGATATTTTTAAGTTTCGAACTAATCTGCTTGACATAAGCATTTTTCAAAGTAGAACAATTTTCAAAATTTTCCACACAATTTAAATTTGCTTTACTTCGCAAAAATCAACCAAATTGTGCTTATATAAAAATTATAAACTGTATTAAATTAACAGTAAATTTTATGACATTTTAAAAATTAAAATTAGTACTACTAAGACTGCTCGTAAAAAGCGCAAAAGTTTTGTACTAATTTTAATTAAATAAATGATTGCAATCAGTGATAGCTTTAATAATAGCTAATATTTCTACATCAGTGTTAGCATTGCCAAAAATTAAAATAGAACGTTTTTTAGAAACAAAAATAGAGCATTTTCTTTAATTGTTATTTCTTTTTGATTAAATTGAATTCTTCAAATTTTCTATTATATTTATTAAATTTCTTTAAATTTGCGCCTTAATTCTGCAAGAAAGTTCCTTTCAGAAAGCATTTGTAAGCATTTTGCTCAAAAAATATTCCCAGAACAAAAAATTATCGATAAAATTTGCCACAATTATATTCCATTATCATTTGTGAGAATTAATTCTCAAATAGTAAAAAGTATTGAAAGATTCGAAGCCAAAATGACAGTAATAATTTATATGCAAATGACGAAAGTAATAAAAATTAGTTGTGTAAAAAATGAAAAATTTCTAAAATTTGAATGTAATTTGCAAATGATTTTTGTGCTTTGATTTTTACATTTTTGAATAAAAATTGGAGCAATCTAAGCAAGAGGCGATTATTCACTATTTTAGGCTTTAGGCACTAAATATTTAAATATTTATTAGCAAAATACGGCAATGAAAAGTTAAGAAATAATGCGCACTTCCAATAAAATGCTCAAAATGCTAACAATAATCTGAAAAATTCGACAAAATCCAAACTGTTACCAAATAAAAGTTCATTTGTAAAGATACTTGAATTTTGTACAGTTTACTTTTTGGTAAAGTTTATTTAAATATAAAAAATATGCTAATCTTAAAAAGTATTTTCAAATTTGAATTTTAAAAATTTCAAATTTTTGCAAATAAATTTTAAAAATTTTGATAAAAATTCAAATAATGTTCGATTTAAGACGAAATCTGACTTTACTCATCCAAAAATAAAGTAATGGATTCCAAACAATGGATGTCATTGCAAATGCATGAACATTGAGCAATTTGAAGTACATTTGCATGTCCAAAAAAGTTCCTGAAATTGTAACCAATTTTAAAACGATCACTTATAATATACATTTTCTATAACTAAACGTTGAAAAAAAAAAACAATTTAATCGGTTAGAGCTATGTTTTAGGAGACTCATATTAAAATATAACTTTATTTGTTTTTTGATTGAAAATTTTTAAAAATAGAATTTTCGCATGAAACGTGTTCAAATTTGGATTTGTTCAGTTTCGCAGGAAAAAAAGTAAGTAATACGTGATTTTATGTTTCACTAATTAATTATATTTCAAAAATTACAGTTGAAACAACTTTTCTCTAAACAGGCTAAAATCACTCTTACGTCATAGATTTCAAATGTACAGTTCTTATTTTATTTTAAATCAAAATTATATGAAATTAAGCAACAACAATAATATTGCTCTATTTTAAATTTAACTCTCTAATTGGGAAATAACATATTTTTCTAAATTACAAAAATTTCATTACACAAAATAAAAAGTAAACTTAAAAAAACAAGGATGCTGACTTTTTTTAATTTGAAAGCTTAAAACTTCATCAAGGAATTTTTCTCTAATTCATTATTCCAATCAACGACGTTATTCATCATGATAAAAATTATTATTATTATTATTATTATTATTATTATTATTGATCAATCTTTATTTATCACTTGACAAATCAAAACATTCGGGGTCACTTGTTTCATAAAATAAAAATGTGAGCAAATCAAGTAAATTATCTTTTAATTCTACACGTGTTTTAACTTAACTGAGTATTTTTTAAAGTTATTTGTATTGTGGCTGTGCTGATGCAATTTAAACATATTGCTATGTATTGTAAAAAATATACCTTTCTTCACAACATGTATTTTTAGAATATTCAATATTGAAAACCTAAGCAAAATAATTATTTTATGCTCACGATAATACATTTCTTCTTTTCAATTTTAAGCACTGACAAATTCAATTACAAATTTTTATTTTACAAATGAAAAAGTAAAATTTCAGAAATGAAAATATTACCTATTCTAAAATCACGGAAAATGTTAACAATTGTTAATGGAAACCAAGAAGTCATAAATACCACAACCATCAAAATTAGTACATACATTACGCGACGTTTACGTACGGCTGTTTGAGCTTGCTGTGCCACAGTAAGCATGGAATGTTGCGCTACGATCCAATCTGCTCGAACCTAAAATATTATGCTTGAAAAATTTTTGATTGAAAACTTTTTTTATTTCAATTATTACTATAAAGCTCTCATGAAAATAATACTAAACCCATACTATATTAAGATACTATATTGTGCAAGTCATAATTCTTTAAAACTTAGTTGCCTTATTACTCAGTTTGTTTATAAGTCTTTGGCTTAAAGCATACATTGCTATAAAATTGCCTAAAAATTAGGAACAAAGCTGTTTCAAATTCTGCGCAATTCAAAAATATAAACTTCACAAAATTTGGCAAGATTATAATTTTGAAATATTTTGTCGCTTGCATATTCATTTTTACATGAACTCAAATACTACAGTTATTTAATTACTTGCAATGATTCAATGCTGAAACTGCAAGTTTTTTCAATAGAGTGATTCTTTTAATCTTAATATTTTCATTGTAAAGTTAATTACTTTCACCTCCGAAAGTATATCTCAAACTGTGAACAAATTATTCATTCAGAATGTGAAATTATTTTA